AGGGTGGCACCCCTGTAGATCCGCCCCTGTTTAAGACTGCATGAAGTAAACCTAAAGCACTGAAAAGTCCAAACATGGACTGCTTCCCATTTTCTCTGTATCATTCCTACTGTAGTGCCTGTCATCAGAGTAATTTGGGAACGTGTCACTTCCTACATGTTAGCTCGAGGATCAGTCCACTAACACTGATTTGCAGCCAATAGGAAGCCGACCTCAGGAGACCTTCTCATTAAAGGTACTGAACACACCTGAGATTTTCTTTCCACACAGATTTTCATTGGCACATATGTTCTCACTAACGTAGAGAGTCTTACACCATCTCCCAGCGGTTTGCAGAGAACAACAAGTGCACCGTGTGGTCCTCCAAATCACTCTTGTTCTCCAGGTAAGCCCCAATCAGCTGTCCGATCGTCGTGGTCCTGTCTGCATGAAGAAACCCGCCCCGGGGACAACACGTCAGACACGTTAAAGCCAGAGGAGAACTTTAAGCTCCTTCGGTGAAAAACGGAAAGCATTCTCACCGGGGAATCTCATCATCTCAGCCGGCCTGCCGCTCTGCTGCAGAGCTTGAACCAGCTTGCTGCACTGCGTGGTCTTCCCGGCCCTGTCCACCCCCTCCAGCACGATGAGCGCTCCTCTCTTACCCGCCATCTCTGACCACTGTCCGTCAGTGCTGCGGTGAACGTTGCAGAAACCGCGAACAAACTGAAGCCAAGCCCTAGAAACAGACCTGTGCCCTATCACCATTTACCGCCTTTTCCTAAAACAAAACGTCAACAAGGAAACACAATGACGCACTTCCTGTTTCATTTCGTCACGTTTCAGCCAGCCCATTAGCTCTCCGACTGCTGCCCTCTACCGTTTACCCATCATCCCCCTTCACAGATCATTTAGATTTTGCCTACAACACCGTGTAAATACTCAGTCAGTCTGTTTGTATTAGAATATCCAAGAAAAGCAAAAATGCAGGAAAGAAAACTCCTACAACTGTTCCAATATCTATGGAGAACTGCTCTCTACTTCCTTGGCTGTACTTAGAACTTCATACACTTAATCACAAGCAACAGTTATGCTGAATAAAACATGTTTTATTAGCACAGGGCAATTTACTGGCTGATTCACCTGTGAGTGTGCAGTGTCCGGAAGTTCGCTCTCAGACTGAACCTCTGTCAAGTCTGTCAATTCAATGTCATCATAAAATCTCAACAAATCACAACAGCAATCTCCTTGAGATGCTTTATATTAGAGATTGATTTATATATACGGCGAAATAAGATGACAACCCCTTCTATAAGAGTTGGCGTTGACTCTCCAGGTATCTGGATGTCGTTTTAAAAGATATTCCCAGATTTGGTGTTTTGATAATGGTGGTAGATAGCAAAAAGACACAAAATGTCCCATAACTGTTTAGTTGTTTTTTTAGAGCTGGAGGTCATAAAGACTATATATTTTTATTGTTTGCTATCCCTTTTTTGTCCCTTTGTGTCCGGTGGAATCCTGGAAGGGAACATTCCCATCAGGATGAAGGTGATCACTTAAAACTAATTCCAGCTAAAGGTGATATTCAACACCTTTCTTTTTCTGATAGTATGGAGGGAAATAATCTGTTTCACTCCCTTTGACATGATGAATGAAATTAATCATTAATTCTTAGTTAAATAATTAGGTATATATATATATATATATATTAAATTATAGCCTATTGATATGTTGGTTTGTTTTGTGAATGAACACAGCAAAAACAAAAGACCATAAAGCAGATGGGAGGGGGTGGAATAGGTTGTTTCCCAGAGACTGTCATGACAAGTTACTGTATTGTTACAAATGGCCAATATTTAACTGCACAACACATGAGCACTAGATTTCATCCTTATGGGAAAATGATCTTTATAGCATTAGACACGTGTTACACTTTGCTCTTGTGACAGTGTTTCAGAGCATCTTTCAGTGCTGCCAGCACCATGTCGACGTTCTCCCTGCTGCTGTTGCATCCCATCAGTCCCACGCGGAGCACCTGGAAAATGACAAAAACATCCAATGTAAAACACACAGGCAGGAACAAATGTGTTTGGATGATGCATATTGGCACTCGATCATCATGTTTTCCTACCAAACCAACTGATGGTCCGAGCCCCCCAGAAATCTCCAGATTGTGTGTTTTCATTATGTAGCTTGTGATCTCTTTCCAGTCATATCCATAAGGAGCAACAATTGTAGTGACTGTTGGCAGCCTCAGACGCTGTAACAAACAGCTCATTATTTAATCTTATATAAGAAAGAGCTGCAAGCTTGATGTAAATTCCCTTACAGATTATTATGATTATTCTAAAACTTACCTTTTCTTTGACAAAAAGCTTGAGACCCATGCTCTCCAGGCCAGCATGGAAATATTCGGCTACCTTCAGATGTCGTTCCCAGGAATTCTCCAAACCCTTAAAAAAATTGAATTATAGAATTAAAACTAAAAAATTTACAGACAATTCGCAGACACTAGGGAGCTGCAAGTCCTTTACTCATCAACCATATCTCAATTTTCAGAGTACTGATCACAAAAGTGTGCTCTACAGCTGTCATGTGAAGCCGCATGTTCAGCTAAATTCTAATGCTGGATGACATGAATATTTAACAGGGGAAAGTGTTTCATGTTCACTCTTAGACTAGTGTGTTAGCACTTTTCATATTAGCATTAGGCACACAACACCAAGTCTGGTGGGAATGTCACATTGTTGGTATTCCAATTAAAGCTGTGGATAAATTAAATTTTGGCCTGATAACTGTTGGAGACTATAGAAATATAATGATCCTAAAGTTGGTAGGATTAATTCTCTGAACATGAACATCAGTACAAGGCTGAAATATTTTAGCCTGCACAAAAACCAAACATTTGTTCACTCATTAATTAATTAGCTATTAATGAATTTATTAAACAAAACAAACCAACGTATCAATAGGCTATAATTTAAACCCCTACACCATGGATCTAGACAGCTGTGGTGGTTTGGGCATCTAACTACAAAAGCCACTTCCTTCTCCTCACCTGAGGAGGTGGCTGAGGGCTGTCTGATCATACCTGCTTAGACTCCTGTCCTGCAACTCAGACTGAGATAAGCAGGATAATAGATATTTTTTCCCCCTTTATGGGATTCCCAAGTCAGTTACTGAACCACATAGGATCCAGCTGCTTAACTGGAGCTTAACTGTATGGGCCATAAGAAGTGCTCAACTGGTGGGAGGTGTCTGCAGATTCCCTCAACAAACTGAGTTCTGCATCTGCAAAGTTCTGACTGCTGCAGCTGGACTAATTATTCTCTCTTTTTTGATTCAAGAAAAGTGAGGGGTCTATATGTCGCGTTCACTCTGCAGCTCATCGGTTTAATAAAAGTCAGGATTTTAATTAAAAATGTGACATTTCCTTAGTGACACCAAATGTTTTAGCTGCAGTGCTTTTATCTCAGGTTTCCACAGAGGAGATACGCTCTGTTTCCATTACTGTATTCTGTGCTTCATTAGTTAATTGCATAAAATGTTAAAACTGCAGGCTCATGAACCCTTTTAATTGCTAGACATGTCTCACCTCTTCAACAAGGACAGACAAACTTTCCCTCAGAGAGTAAAAAGCAGTGACAGGACCTGTGTGGTGATATCTATGAAAAGAGACAAAGCAATAGCAAATGATTTTAGTAATAGGTTAAAAGTGAGCCTGAAACACAGTCCAGTCTGCAGAGAAAGTCTTACACTCTTGATGGCTTTCCATCACATCCCCAGTAGTTTGCCAGCCAACTCAAATCCAAGTAAAAAGACACGGGCTTTGTCCTTCGGCTGAAGATTTTTTGGCTGTGGATAAATTTACCTTTAAATACTTATGGTACCCTATTATTCTGAATGAATAAAAATGATAAAAATGTGCAGTTCTTACCATGCTCTCTCACTGAAGGAAATCGGTGCTGTACCTGGTGGGGCATTCAGAACCTTTTGGGAGCCTGTATACAGGATATCTATCTCTAAAAGTACAAACATCGACAGAAAAATCCATATATATTATTTCATAAAATAAACACTGGAAACATCTGGCAGGATCTTTCAGTGCACCTTGTTGGTCCATGTAAACAGGGGCTCCTCCAATTGATGCCACAGAGTCAACAAGAAACAGGCAGTTATACCTGCAAGCAAATCACAAAACACCTATATCATCTGTCTAGCTGCAGATGTGGTGATTGCAAAGTGCTGTGTCTTACTTATGGCACAGCTGTCCGATGCCATCTAAAGGATGCAAGACTCCCGTCGAAGATTCTCCGTGTGCCACAAAGAGCAGCGTAGGTCTGTGTTTGGATAAAGCCTGCGGTGAGATAACAGTGTGATTACACAAGTGGCAGCAGTGACAGAAATGATTAAAGTAGCCTGATAACTGGAGCATCAGGAAACAGTACCTTTTCCATCTCTTCAATAGTGAAGCAGCCACCAGGAGGAGCCACTATAGTGTTTACTCTCGCACCTGTAGGTTTGATACACATGTTTTTTCTTAATTAACTGTTTTTTTTTTTTAAAATTACACCAATGAAAGCCACCTTTAAAAGACACCAGCAGTAATACTCTGTATTTTTATCATCAAATCCTGTGGAAAGACCTATGGGAGTTTATTTAATTATGTTCCACAATGCTTCGTTATTTTCCTAAAAGTCAGTATAATGCACTGCCTGACTTGGTCATTACTGTGGACGTGGCCACTGTAGTTTCTTTTGAGTGAGGCCCACTTGCTCCGCCATGCTGCAAATACTAGAGCAGCTAATGAGTATTCACCATAGACTGCATATATGGCTCATGGTTCTCTTATTGTATGACCTCAGTAAAAAACTTTCTCATGAGATTATAGGTTCAGCTGCTAGCACAACATTAAGTTAATGTTTTAAACAGCTATGATGGCGTCTGTGAAAATGTTCAGCTTGACTTGCAGTGTGCTTTGGTGTCATGCATGTTGTGCCTGTCACAATTTGTGTAACCTGGAACTCACACAATGGCCCGGGTGGAGGCACAGTTGCGTGAGAGAGACAGTTTCTTAGGCGATTTCAGAGATTAGCAGATGGCACACATAAACTTTGCTGTACATTTGGAAAAGGCGTGAAAGTATTCCACAGCAAAAGCTCTTTTTGAACAGTGCCCATCTGTTGTAGGAAATTATATTTTTGAATTTGGTTATCTTCCAGGATTTGTTAGGTACAAATGATACAATGAGCCTTACCTATCCTCTCTGCCATCTCAGCTGCTCTCTCTCCCCAGATTCCATTCACAGCTACAAGCACGCTTTCCCCAGGCTCCACTGCATTGAAGATGGCGCACTCCATAGCACTGTGGCCGGTGCCACTCACAGCTAGAGTCATTTTGTTTTGAGTCTGGAACATATACTGGATCCCACTCTTGATGTCGTTCATTATCTGTAATTGAAAAAGGGCCGGGTTTGGTGAAACGAGTAGCGATCTATCTGATGTTAGAACCATTCCCAATCTTTGTCTAGCACAAACAGCATGCAACCCAAATATAGATCCTAGTCATTGGTGTTAAACCTCTGAAGTTACCTCGAATATCTCTGGATGCATGTGTCCAATGACAGGGTTGGCACCGGCCTCCAAGATCCGTGAAGGGACGTTTGAAGGTCCTGGTCCAAACATGTGACGATAGGGAACAGTCAGAGGTTTCTGCAGGCATTTTGGTGGTGGTACAGAGATGGACGACATGTTCCCAGCAGTGTAACAAGCAAAACAAAACCGCAAAGAGCCGTGGAACCAGAGAAACCACACCTCAGCTTAACACACCTCTCTTTCTGACCAGTGAGCACCACAGGTCAGAAGACCATCATAACATGTTCTGCTTTTATCTTTTCCTTCTTATGTCAACACCTGTTAGTCTCTCTGCGTAATGAGCTCATGTAGTTTGATGTGTCCTCATTTTTCAAGATAAGCAAGTGATCCAGCATGTCCCGAGATGTTAATCATTGACCACCAACTGACCAGAGTCTCATGTTTAACTATTAAACTGCAGTGTTCCTAAAACATTAACAGAGTTTGTTTGCTAAAAAAAAATCACTTTGTAAGATGATATTTGAAATGCATTAATGAACCTTAATTAAATCTATCACATCTCGGGTCATTAAGAACCCAACAATTCTCTCATAAGGAAATAGTTGATGAGGAGAAACTCATTTTTAACAGGATCTCCTGTTAAAACAAGACTCACAGTGGACAGCCTTCTACTTTTAAATATCCTAGGAACCACAATTAAATCAGCAGTCTGTGAGTAAAGTGCTCTATTGGGAGAGTATGGCCCTTTAAGATATTTGTCATTATTCAAGACCTTGTATGTGAGGGGAAGGATTTTAAATTAGATTCTGGATTTAACAGGGAGCCAATGAAAGGAAGCCGATATGGGAGAAATATGCTCTCACTTTACTCCCTGTCAGTCCTTTCACTGCAACATTTTGGATTATCTGAAGGCTTTTCAGGGAGCTTTTAGGACAACCTGATAATAATGAATTACAGCAGTCCAGCATAGAATTAATAAATGCATGAGCTAGTTTTTCAGCGTCACTCTGAGAAAGGATGTTTCTAATTTTAGAGATAGTGCACAGATGAAAGCTTTTGTTTGAGTATTCTTTTGAAGTAAATATGCGGCATCGTAATTCAATTTTTCTGTGCAGTTAAAATGCTAAAGTTCAGCAGAAGTTTTCGTTTTTTAAATGACCCTTAAGCCAGTTTTTGTTTTCCATTATTATGAGGTCAATAACTTTTTAACCATCACTCAGTGAGAATCAGTGGTGAATTGAATATTTGAGGTTTATTAGGTTTGAGGTTTATTGTCATTGTGCTTCACAGTTAGGCCTGATTTGTCTTCTGAGGGATGAGGAGATGCTTCCCCAGAGGTTCGGCGCAGAAGCTGCCATCTTCGTACACGAGCCGTCCCCTCAGGATGGTGGCGCGCACGGCCCCTTGCAGTTTGAGGCCAAGGTAAGGAGTCAGCTGATTGCACAGTCACAAACAGCAAACTGTTATGCAAACAACACTCGTCAACTCATCACACAGTGTTTATGTTAAAATTTTCTCAGTGATTGTATTTGCCTTGTTTTTGTGATGTATGTTTTCTTCTTGAATCTGTGAAACAGAGCAAAGGATGAAACACATCTGCCTCAGGATATGATGACTGTTTATGGTTTCTTACCTCAAACTCTCTCTCTGGGTCCCATACAACCAAGTCGGCATCATAACTGGGGGCAAGGCAGCCCTTCCGGCTGTCGAGGCAACACAGCTGAGCTGTTTTTTGGCTCAGGAGCCTCACAACATCAGGGAGCTGAAAACCTCTTTTACTGGCTGAACTCCAGAACAGAGACAAGCCTGAAAACGATGAGAGTAATAAAGAAGATGACTGAGAACTGAACTGAGACTAATCAAATCAGAGTTTTTCCACTCCTTAATTCTATTTACCCTTTAATAATAAGATTGTATGAGGCGAAACACTGCGTATCACTGTCACGAGACGTCTTGGTGTCAGACTTTGACCGCTCTCTCACTGAGGCAGAACAGTAAATGATTGCTTTAAACTGGAACTCGTTCATGTTTACCTTCCTTTGAACTTTGACTGACTGTCAGTGATTGTCAAAAGCATTATGGGGATATGTGGGGGCAGGGGGCAGCTAATCCAACCCAAAAGAAAAGAAGCATATCCCTGTAATATTCCACGGATTAGAATTCATTTGTAATCCATCCATCCATTTTCTTCTGCTTATCTCATTCAGGGTCAGGGGGTGGGTGGTGGGGGGGTGCTGGAGCCTAACCCAGCTGTCATAGCGTGAGAGGCAGATTACACCCTGGACAGGTCACCAGTCTGTCAGAGGGCTAACACACAGAGACATCATATCTCTTCTATTCATATCAACTGGTTGATTCTCACTAGAGCGTTCACTATTATACGAGGTACTATAAAAGTGCTGAAAGTGCTGTGATTATAATTGTATTGCCTGAAACACTACGTTATGTTGCGGTAGTTGAGTAGAATAGTTTCTCCATCTGCAGTTATTATTGATGCGAATGCCTGTTAACAATTCACATTACTGTCATCCAAATACAGTTTTGGCATTTGGTCTTTCCATTGCACCAAACAAATACTTGGAAAGCTGCAGCAAGACCTCCTCAGGATGCAGAACAGATCACGCATCTGACATGACATTAATTATGGAGGAGAGAGGCTTGCTGAGGCAGCAGTAACTGCAGGCAGGTGGCATCAACTTTGCCGGTATGATATGCAGAAGGGGTTGATGTAGGCTGCTGAGGTCCCGGGACTGTGGCAGACATTAAGGTCTGCCTGCCTTTTTGATAGTTGCTACTGTATATTAAATATTCTGCATCTGTGTTTGCATGAGTCAGTACCAAACTGTAAAGAAGAAATCCCTCCCCAAGCCTGTGTGAAGTCTCCACTGTCCAGTTTCTTCAAGTCGGTGGTGCAGGGGGAGTGGTCTGAGACCACCATGTCAATCTGTCCAGCTTTCAGCGCAGACCATAGCTGCTCCTGGTGGGGGAAAATCAGTCAGAGAGTAGCTTTTTGTTGTTGTTTGCTGAAAATAGTCAACTTTGTGTCTTCTGTACATATGATTGTTTACTTGGTTAACAGATCCTCTGATGGGTGGGCAGCACTTAAATTGCGTGGCCCCTGCAGGTATGTCTTCTGCACACAGGCTGAGATAGTGGTGGGTGGTCTCCACAGTCAGAGGAGCTCCAGCCTGCCGTGCTTCCTCAATCAGTTTCAGTGGCTTTGCAGAAGACAAGTGAACTATGTGGCAGCGAACCCTGGAGCAGGGATATTATAAGAAACATCAGCGTCTCCCTTTGGTTGATTTTCTTATGGAATGACTCAATTTTTCCTGCTACAAACAGAACCTATACAAATATATGAACTATGATATTATGGTTATTCGTTAACATGCTGATTTTCTCACCTGTACTGCAGGCAAAGCTCTGTGACAACACGAATAGCTTCAGTTTCCATGACGTCTGGCCTGGACCGCAAGAAGGTGGAGTACTGGCAAGGGTCTAACATGGGGTTGGGTAAGAAAATATCAGTGTTTATTAGTGTAAAAACAAATAAAAAGGATAAAGGGTGAATGAATTTTGGACACTAACTACATTATATTTTTAAGTATTTTCATAAAACACTGTAATGATTGTTACCACCAGTCTCTCCTTTTCCTTCCCAAACGTCCCTCTCTGCGTGAAACTGGAGGAGACAGGAGAAAAAGGCTTATTTTTTATTTCATCTGACAATGTTTTGTGTGCAAACTAAAGGCAAATCACACACAGAGTAAGAGAACTTAATGTTACGTAAGATGTTTTGGTTTGTAAATTACCAGCAGGACGCTTCCTGTGCCTTGCAGCTGCTTCATGGCTGTATGTAGATCGCTGTCATTTACATGGGGGAACTCATCCACCCCGCTATGGATGAGAAAACACTTGAAGCCAGCCACTCCAGCCTGGATCATTGGACGTAGATGGAGCTGCAAGGAGACATTCATGGAGTGTTTGCTTTAGTCTTGGTTTTTTTTTTTGGTTTTTTTTTTACAACCTGGCCTGTTTGTAGAGTTCATCATGCTAAAGCTGTGCACACATTACCTGATTGCCGGGGACCACGCCTCCCCAGAAGGCTACATCCACAAAACACTTCCCTGTTGCCTGCCGCAGCTTCTCGTGAAAATTGCCAAGAGTTGTGGTGGGAGGGATGCTGTTTCTGTGTGAATAACAAAGGCCTGATGAGAGCTTCACGTCTACTGTTTAAAAAAAGAATCTTTCTCAAACGGTCTCAGTCCAAAGCCAAAAATCATTTCAGCCATAGAATAAAACATAAAACTGATAAAGAAGACATGTTACATTACTATTACTGTTTTCATTACTTGTGCTATATTTAACCCGTCAGGCAAGACTGCATCGTTATGTTTTGTTTTCTAGCTTTAAACCTTTTCCAGTTACCCTAAACTCATTCACTGTAAGTATAATTCTTAGAATAAAGAGTTAAAGTTAAAAGTTAAGTTAAAATTTCAGCCTTGACATTTTAAACCAAGCCATGGACGTACAGTGCTTCTCGGATTCATTTTGATGTTTGCCTGAGGAAAACAACATTTATTTTGCAATCTGTTTACCCTGCACGCTCTACCAGTGACTTTGTATGATCAGACTGCAGGGACTGATTTCTGAATTGGTGAAGTCTCCAACTTACAGCGGCATGTCCACAATCGTCGTCACCCCTCCGGCTGCTGCAGCTCTGGTGGCGCTCCAGAAACCCTCCCAGGAGGTACGGCCTGGTTCATTCACATGAACGTGGCAGTCTACAATGCCTGGCATCACCACGCTGTCACCCACATCCAGCACCTTCCAACCACAGAAAAGTTTTTTAACAATGCAATGAATCAAGCATCTGAGAGAAATAAGATCTTCAGGAGTGTTAAATCAGTGAATTACAATTTTACAGACAGGCGAATTATCCTGAGCAGTGTTCTGAGGAGTGAAACCCAGCTTACCTGACAGGCCACATCCTCAGAAAAGCTACAGCTCGACACTATTTCATGTATTTTCCCATCCTTTATAACTACAACTGCAGGACGTACTTTGTCACCATCCAGCACCCTCGTACTCCTCACAGCACTGACTGTTGATCCGAGTTCCATGTTTTCTTTTTTATTGACTGTTATTGAGTTGAGTACGCTAGACCAAGGGCGTAGATTTGGCATGGACGGCAGGGACGTGTCCCCACCAATATCCAGCGATTATTGAATTGTCCCCACCAATAATTTGATCTCTTCGAGTAAAGAACAACAATCCCGATAGAAAGAAAAAAAAACTATCTGTCAGAAAGAGTTAAATACGTCCTCTACTGGAGTCCTACGTCATGTGACAAACATGGCCAATGTGATTGGCTGAGCCTTTCAGGGAGCTCTGTTTACCTGTTAACCCTGCGCTGAGAGGAGGACGGCAGCAAAGAGGAAGAACCTGGATATAAGAAAGTGTTTTTCAAAGAAACCTGTAACTCACTTAAAGTCAAGTTCACTCATAAAATGTGTAATAACGTTACAGGCTATGCTCCGCTTTGGCCCACATCAGTCTAAAACTGTATGTAACCACGAATAACGTGTTTTGGAAACTAAATGCACAGCAGGCAGCACTATTAGTTCTCTCAGTTTCAGAGCAGCATTTCTAATTTTGATTGAAACTGTCAGAGAAAACGGCAGCCTCAAGCAGGCCAGGGTTTTAGTTTACAGAGGCTGTTAAAATTATATGTCTAACGTTAAAATATGCCAGCAGTTTATCTCTGTTAATGAGAGGAGAAGGCATGTGTTTGGCTCCTTCACATAGAGGACATTGAGTTGTTGTGTGGGACACCAGTAGTCCATGTCTGTTGCTATAACAGTTATTCATGTTTAGAATAAAACATCCCAGC